TYYTWWTTTTTAAAAAAATCATTMACATTCATTTACACCCAGAAAAATAACAATAATTCCTTTATATTCAGTCCATATTCAAATTTCTCCTATTGACTTGGGGAAAAAAAATGCAAGTTCAAATCAGGTTCCAACAGGTCTCACTCGTGTTTGGCTATTTTTGGCTATTTTGTCTCATAGATCTCTTTGCAATGTAAAACATCACCTCTGCCCCACTTTCGGTTTCATGTCCTATTGACAAAATAGGATCAATTATCATAGAGAATATTCTACATCCTGGAATTAGCTCATGACTTCCTTGTGGTATCATTCAAAATTGCTCTTCATCTATATATTTCCTATTGACCAGAACTCAGAGGCAGGGCTTAATTAAGTTCAGACTTCTTTTCCTTCTCCTTCTCCTGCCTCTTCCTCCTCTTCCTCTTCCCATTCTGTCTCCTTCCCCTTCTTCCTTTTTCTTTTTTGACAAGAACACCTGAGGAGGTGACTTGATAATGCAAATTACACCACATCAAGAGACACATCAGGTCTCGTGGCCTACATATATTCACTTAAAATATGAGAGTCATTTTTATATTTTCTTATTTATCCATATTAGTTTTATAAGAGCCATTTGGCAGTTTAATAATGTTAGTTTTCTTTTTTTTCATCAAATAAGATTTTGATACAAAGTTTTGGAGAGCTTTAATAAATTATTTGTTATATGAAAGCAAGAATGTATTGATATATATAACTACATTTGCATACATGTACTTGTTTGCTTTTGCAAATTGTTAGCTGCAAAAGTACATATGTTTGGAAGCAGGCACCAGGAGTAAGCTGTCAGAAAATGATTATTAGGTTGATTGGGTATTTTGTTTGTGATAAAAGCAAAGCCTCTTTGATTTGGAGAAGAAAATGTTACATAAGCACTAGCCCCTAAATTTAACAAAGGAAACAAAATTAAAGACATTTTTTTATTTCTCATGTGGCCTCTTGAAAATAAATAAATCAATGTGTAAAGAAGTCAGCAAGTCTTCATTTCCAGTTTACTTTAAACTGATTTTCAATGCTGGCTCTGATTCACCACAGTAACAATCTAAAATCCAATTTACTYCATTTATTTGAATATGAAGGTGACTTTGTCCCTTTTTTTTCCCTTTAATTTAAACCAACTGGATAACTTCAATTTCTGTACAATTATTTTAAGGGATTTTTTTAGCCTCTAGGAAATAATAGGTATTTATTTAATAGTCACCAAAAAAATTTTAAAAAAAAAACGATTTTAAAATGTCAGTTTCAAGTTTTCCCTTGGAATAAAAGATTTTAGTCTTTGGTTTTTCTTTGGAGTTTTGAGCAAGAGCAGAGAATAAATCTTTTCTTTCCAGCATAAATGTGATAGATAAGACTGCTGCTGCGCTTCTCAGAACACTTTCCCAAATGCTGCCTGCTTTGCCATTACAGGGGGCCTACAAGTCATCAACAATATGCTATTGCCCAGAGAAGGGAACCTGGACAGAACTTGAAGGAGATGTAGCAGAACCCCTGGCAGGCCCTGCCTGTGCSACAGTAATCTTGCCTGCCTGTGTACCCTACAACAAATAGCCCCAGGAAACTCTGGAAGGAACAGCATCACATCCCAGGAAGCAGTGACAGGTGACGTCACTATCCTAATAGGAACTGTGCATTTCTCATGATACAACTGCTGAAACCCACCTTTGGTTTCTGATGATTTACAAGTAACTACAAAAGAAAGAGACCTGTTAGGGAACAGATACTGTGTCTGCAACTCAGATCGTACCCGACTTCCTGTGGTGATGGACTCTTCCATTTCAGACTGGTTTTTAATTTGTCCCAGCTTTACAGAAACTCCTCATATGGATCTTAACTTTCAAAGGGAGAAAGCTAAAATACAGAAGACTGGCCCCAGAGAGACCTGAGATCAGTATTGTGCATTGTACTCTACCTGCATGTGATCGATGTTGAAGTTTTGGGGATATTTTGTACATGAATGATTCMGAATTTGACCCACCAAAATACTTACCACTGCATTACAGAAATTCCCACTTGATTCTGTATTCCTAACCTTTGGCTACTTCACAGACTCCATAAGCAACACAGTTACTGAAAACCATAGAAGATTAAATAGGGGCATTTTTGTTTCTATACAACCTCATTTCATGTACCTTCTGCCCTTATAGTACCTCATGGAAGAGTTAAGTTGTTGGGTCTTACASGAGTTGCTTTCTGCCCTGCAGGTTCTAGGATAGCCAGAGTCCTAATTTCCATGTCCTGAATTCTATCTGGAAATTAAAACATACTATGTCACTATCAAGTTCATGGAGGCTTATGCTTTCTTTCTTTCTCTCTCTCTTTTTTTAGTGTTTAAGCAATAAGCACACATGTTATTTGCCTCCAAAGATAGGACTGACAAATTCAGTCATACACTATTTCATAGATTCTGTTGGATAACACATCTGACCCAGACTTAATCTATGATCAAAACTAAGAGATTGCTTTTAGGAATTCAGGGATGAAAAGAAAAAAAATAAAAAAAGAAAAAAGAAAAAATCTTTCAAGGACAATCCCAATTATCTTTGTTCCTAAAACACGAAACTTACCAGGTTATAGCCTCTGACAGAATACTCTTCCCTCCTCACCTGCAGCTGGATTTGTAGACCCTGGACTTCATCTCATTATTSCCCGCCTCATCATTTTTGGTTAGCACCAGAGATTCCTGAACTCAGTTCAGCAAGCAGTTGCTACTTGTCCTTAGGAGCATGGGTAATTTAGGAGCAGAGGTCAGGGGAGCATGACGTAGTCTCAGCGTGGCCAATCAAAAGAACAAAACTGGTAGGAACATAAATTTGACTTTCAAGCTCTCCTGAGCTTGATCAACAACTGTTAGGAGTAAATAAGAGCTTAAAATATTTTTTTAATCACCCAGAGATAGCGAATCCTCCAAAAACAAATGTTACAATTCAAAACAATAAGGGGAAGCCAGATTAAAAACGCCTTGGTGATAAGCTTTCATTGCCAAGTGTGTCAAGATGGATGGGGATAGTGGAATCCAATGCCGTTTCTACAGTAAAGTGCAATCTTCTTTGTTTTTTGTATTTATTTGTATGTTCAGATCCAAAGGATCCGTTGTAAAAATATATATATAAATATACATATATATATATATATATATATATATCTCCAGTGCAATCAACTTTTTATTTCTTTTTTTCTTAAAAACATATGAATATATAGAAAGCAAGAAAAGTTACGGTATTTTGTAGGAAACTCCCAGCTGACATCATGAACAGAATAAGGTCTGTTTCAGAACCTTTTATTGTCAACTGTCACCATTTCTTCCTAAAGTCACAGTTTATACAATAATATTTGCTTTCCTTAGACTTCATTTTATTTTTTATTTCTAGCCAAAATAAATAAAAAGCATTTATGAGAACTATAAGTCAAACTTTCTGGATTTCAGAAAGATACAAACTACTAGAAAGTAAAAAAAAAATGATTAAATAAGTCACAGAGAATGTAAATTTTGTACAGTATTAGAATGTGTAAATGAAGCTTGCTTGGAAGGGGAAAACTTTAAATAAAAACTTTATGTACTAATTCAACTGTCTGTAATATTTCTATTCACAAAGCACAACGTATAAATCTCAACATTGAATTGTTTGAAGATCTGGAATATCTAAATGTCTAAATGTTTTTACTAGGCATATATGCTTCACAAGTTAATTCTACTTTCTCACAATAAGTAAATATATGCATATGGACAATGATAAAACCTATGAAATGCTTCTGGAAAAATGTTACGAGTTAAAGATCATATGAGTTAAATCTTATTTTTCTACTACATGAGCATTTCAATAAGATCTAAAAACTAAATATTTATAGACATTATTATAAGTAGCATGTATATTAAAAAATCTTCATACTTTCTAATGAATAAGTCGATCACACATTTAATGGAATCAATCATCTATCAAATACATAGTATTTGATTCAATTTTCTTTTTAAAAATCTGACAAAGAAGTTTTTCAATACATATAATACATATATGAGATTCTGGAAAGATCAAAACCTGTGGTAAAATGTATCAACTGAATAGCCCTCTAGGCAAAGAGCTCTGCAGGGTCAGTAGCCAGTACCAAAGCCCACAAGCTAGGAAGAATTTACTCTGATGCCTCCCAGAAGTTACATTGATGTTCTCGGTACTGATGATTAAACTGAAAGGACTGTTGGATCCTCTCTTCTATTCCACAAAAGCAAGATTGATGGGGTTTCTTTCCTTTTGCACTGGATCTCCTCTCCATCCTAGTGTAACACACCAGAAAAAGGCCAGTCTCAAAGGCAGCCTCCACAGCCATCTCCTGAGCCAGTGTCCAGCTGCTACAGGGCTGCTTTCAAACACCATGAAATCCCCAAAACTTGAGTGCTGGCCAGACATCCTGAGCACGTAAGGAAACGTGTTTTCCCTTTGTCCAATCTTAAGAAACCACCTAGTTTAAATCCATAGCTAGACAATATATCTCAAATCTTATATTCAATTATTTAACATATGAAAAATGGGAAGYAGGAAGGGGAAATATACTAAGGAGGAAAAAAAATATATTCTAAGAATATGTCCAAAGTTGGGCAAAATTTGAACAAAGACACAATGTCCAGATTTTTTAAATTACTTAAACTGCATCTGTGGGCTTAAAATTAGTGTCTGCCTTTGTTGTCCCCTATTTAGCTAAATGTTTRTTTTTCCAGCTGTTTGATATTTACATCACTTAACAAGTTGTCATCATCATCAATATGCAGATATTCCAAAGGGCATCATTAGGAATGCCAGACTTCTGATTAAACTTAGCTCTTTAGGTCAAAATACAGATGTTCCTTGATTTATGATGCAGTTGCATCCTGATAAACCCATTAAAAGTGGAAAATATTCTAACTTGAAAATAATACATCTAACCTACTGAACATTCTAGCCAGCAATGTAAGCACACTGTAGAGCATTAGCTGTTTACCCTTGTGATCACATGACTGACTGGGATCTACAGCTCAATGCCACTGCCTTGCCTCACAAAAATATTATATCATGGATTACTCACCTGGGGAAAAAAGATCGAAAAGCAAAATTTGAAATATAATTTCTACTGAACACATATCCCTTTGGTACCATCTTAAAGTCCAAAGTCTTAAGTCAAGTAATCATTAAGTCAGGGATGTAAATAATTAAAAACTTGACAAACCAAAAATTAAAATAATGTTAGCAAACCACATCAACACTAATGAATACACATTGGTAAGTACCTTTTCTTTCTTATTTTGCAAAACTGGGTATCAAACCTAGGGTTCTGTATCATTTAGCCAAATCCACAGCCCTTTTTATTTATTTTGAGACAGGATCTCTGTAATTTCTCAGGCTAACCTGGAACTTGTGGAGCTCTTATCTCAGCTTTCCGAGTCTCTGGGATCATAGGCATGTGCCAACACACCCAACTGACAAGTGTCTTGATAAACTGACTTTCCACAGAAAGGACTGACCATCACTCATCAAGCCTGACTTCCTAGAAGCACCTGACTTACAGCATATTGAAACCTTGCTGGAAAACAAAATGGCGATGGAAAGCAGCAGAAAGATCAGTGTAAGAAGAAAACGTGCAACTAATAGTATGCTTGATTTGTGTGGCTATAGCTGGAGAGTGCTGCTCTGAAAGCACAATAAAGATGTGTCAAGTATTAGTTGGGGTTCCTTAATGAAGAAGGTCTTGGTCCGTCTGTGCTGCCATAACAGAATACATGGAACTAGGTTATTTATAATGAAAAGTTCTTGGCTCACAGTTCTGGAGGCTGAGATGTCCAATAATAAGGTGCCAGCATCTGGCAAGTGACGTCTTACTGCATAACCCCTTATTTTGAAGGTAAGTGTACCTATTATGCTCAGAAAGAATATAAACTCCTTGACAAGGTTAGACAATTTACAGATAACAGAGCTGGGATTCATACCAAGGCTTCAACTTGAGGCCATTCTCTAACTATCATACCCAGCTGCCTGCAAAGAGATTTCTAAGCCAATCATTTTAAATGGTGTAGAATTTTCTTGTGACTGTTTTTTCCACGCATAAATAGAATGTGCTAGAGGAAAAACTGAACAATTGTGACACACTATGACAAATGTTACATGATTGGTGTAAATGAGCAGGAGGAGGCATAATGGGGAGAGAGAAAACTTACTCTCTGAACTTGGAGGGTCATTTAGTTTCTCAGATTTCAGTTTTGTCATCTATATTTGGAGTGATAATCTCTTCTTCAAAACATTATTAGAAGGACCAGATGTAAAGTTATGAAAACACATTGCAGCTTATAAAATACATAGACCAGCTATTACAATTTAATGACTAAGTTCAAACTTTCAGCTAGCATGCAAGATACCTTAAATTCTGGCCTCAACCTCCACTTTCAAGTCACATATTTCTTTGCTACTTATTCACTGAGTGTTATGAGTCTTCACTGTTCCACAAATACAGCTCTACTTCTCCGTCACCTCCCTTTGTCTTATACATTTTCTTCACAGAGAACACCAGTTCATACACAACACTGTCTATTAAAATCCTGTCCTTCAAGGTCTAGTTCAAACTCTATTGCCTTCATTAAACCTTTATGATCACAATGGTTTTTTGTGACTCTTTTCATACAACTCACCATGACTCTCTTACATTAACTACTCCATGCTACTTGTGAGATTTTATGTCTTTACCCTCTTACTAGCTTCAGGAACATGTCTATAAGTCCACCATAAAGYCATAAAATATTTGTTAAATAGAAGTACTATATTTTTAAAACTGTTAATATAATTGTGGAAAGTTTGGGAATTCCAAGAGAGAAAAAGCAATTGTCTCACATTATTTATTTTAGTGGCCAACATGAGTCTTCCAACGTAAGTGGCCTTAGTTAATTCAACTCAAATAAAGAAAAAGAAAGGGAAGGAAG